ATCCTAGCCTGCTGAGCTTAGTCACTCAGCAGGGCAATCCGACCCTCCCACAGGGTAAAGACCCAGCAGCTCAGGCCGCCCTGCAGCAATGAGGAAATGTGCTTTTGATCTAGTTAAGTAAAAAGAGCAGAACACAAAGTATTGGCAACTGTGTGAAAACAGGCCAAGGGGAAATAACAAAAGGAGTTCCTTAACTCAATTCTTTTATTATCATTGTTACATTGTTATTGTTCTAAAGTCCATTCTAAGTTCAAATCTTGTTTTATGTGGTTATTTTCCCTCAAAACTGGGGTGAATCATTATATTTAATTATATTAAGAGATTCACATATATTATTTGTTAGCTCCTTTGTCCTTGGGTAGAGACTAGCAAAGAGGAACCAAGTAATTTAGATTCTTTTGACTAGAGAAGAGAAAAAATGCAAATTCCCATCCTCACTTCATTTTACAAAACTGAAAGAGAAAGGATAGTTTTAACTGTTGGCAAAGTAAAACTGCTATTCTAGCTGCTCAAGGTGAATACTTTTATTGTGCAAATTATTAATTTTATTAAAAGTGTAGGAAATAATTTTTTAGATTATCAGAGACTATAAAAGAAAAAGCATCTTTCCTCGGTTTAAAAACGCAGAAAAAATGTAAAGGACTCAAAGTATGCAGAGTATAAACAGAAACTTTCATGGCTAAGGTTACACAGTTAGCGAATGGCACAAATAAAACCTGACCCTTGGCATCTGACTTCTGGTGCGCTTGCCCACTCTTCTCCACTGGGAAGCTGGATGGAAGGTATGACATGCGAACTGGTTAAGAAAGAATTGCAATTTTTAGTTTGTGAACAGTTCATTGTAATAATCCAGGAGTGATGTGGCTGGCCTAAAACAAATACTATGTAGGCTTCGTTAATGGAAATACAGTCTTCCCACTACCCAGTGTGATCAACTAAATTCTCTTCCATTCTGAGATTCTCTAATTCCCTCAAACCCTTGAGTTTCTCCCTGAAAAACTTCTAGGAATAACTTGAATGCTGAACTACAGCAAAAGATGTTATAGTGTTACTGTAAAATTTTTCTAGAGGGAATCTATGCTATGAAACAAACTGACTCTAAATTAAGATTATGAGAAATTGTAATAAATGTCAGAGAACTGGAAGCCGAAAAGCATGCCAAATTTATGCAAAAAGGAACAAGTTCAACAGGAAAGCTAATGATTAGAAACTTTCCTTTAAATTTGGAAGAGAAACCATGACAAGATTTAAAGTACATTAAGTTGAGAAACCTTACGCTATAGGAAAAAACAAACAAACAAACAAACAAAACCCAAGTTCATGCTCATTTGAAGCACTTCTCCTGCCCACACCCTTAGAAATGACCAAGGAATGCTTGATTGATTTGGCACCTTCCCTGCAGGCCTTCCCAGAAGCATCTCTCATTACATGAGGTGTTGATTCTTTCTTCAAACACCCCCCTCCCCCGAAAAAAACACTCTGCTAGCTTAGATTTTGGACAGTTAAGCATCAGGGGAGAGAAAATCGGAATTGTATGTACAATCTATAGATTTATGTACATGATAGCACCTGGCCCTCAATACATGCTTAAAAGTGTTTTTATTGAGTCATCAGGACCTCCTCATAGATCAGAGTGGAAAACGTCCAGTATTAGGTGTAAGTCTATGTTTATGTTTATATTTAAATAAATATATATTTAAATAAATTAAACACAATATTTAACAAATATAATTTACTTGTAAATGTTCCTTAGGTTTCTAACAATTTCCTAGAATCTACTATTCTAAATAATTGAGTGCAAACACAACCAGTTAAACATTAGGTTAGCTTGTTCTCTCCTGACATCTAGTGTTTCCTATACATTACTGCAAAACACCTCCAGTTTTTCATTTTTAATGTTTACAGGTTTATTATAAAGGACATTACAAAAGACACAGATGAAGAGACACATAGGGCGAGGTACCAGGGAAGGGGCACGGAGCTTCCATGCCCTCCCTGGGCGCGCCTCCCTACAGGAACCTCCCTGTGTTCAGCTATCCAGAAGCTCTCCAAACTCCATCCTCTTGGGCTTTAATGGAAGCTTCATGAGGTCAGCATTCCTTCCCCCAGGGTATACGGTGGGGCCCTCTCTGGAGAACCCCAGTTAATTTTTAACTACTAAAATAAAAATGCTGGCCAAGCGCACAGTGGCTCATGCCTGTAATTTCAGCACTTTAGGAGACTGAGGCAGTGGGATCACTTGAAGTCAGGAATTCAAGACCAGTCTGACCAACATGGTGAAACCCCATCTCTACTAAAAATACAAAAATTAGCCAGCTGTGGTGGTGCGTGCCTGTAATCCCAGCTGCTTGGGAGGCTGACGCAGGAGAGTCACCTGAATCCCGGAGATGGAGGTTGCAGTGAGCTGAGATTGCACCACTGCACTCCATCCAGCCTGGGGTGACAGAACGAGACTCTGTTTCCAAAAAAAAAGAAAAAAAGAAAAAGAAAAGAAAAAAGAAAAGAAAATGCTATGTGGAACAAAAATTTTATTTATTTTTGAAATAAATTTGTTTAAACGAAATAAAATCCCAAGCAAACAGCAAAGTTGTATCTGAGGAGTGAAAGACCTTTTTTGCTTAATTATTTCCATAGGAGAAAATTCTTTTAAATATTTTCTTGCAATTCGATAAAAATGGAAAGACCTAGCATGTAGGCAGGGCTGCTTGATTATTGCAATGGAGGGAGGGAACATGGGGGAAGCGCATGCAGCCCTTCTGTGCGCCAGGTTCCAGGTGCGAGGACTCCCATAGGACCATTTGTGCAACGAGGGATTCGGCCTACTGACAAGGTTTTGAGGATTTCCCTACTCTGCTATGTGGAAATGGAGACACTCAACATCTCCTCATAACATATCTTGAGCCAGCCCTCAAGATACATAAAGCTGTGGGCCCTCAGAAACATCTGGCTCAACAGAAATGAGTGCAGGGCCTGCCTTTGAAGCCCAGCGTATCTACTCCATTTGGGATATTCCACACAGGAAGAGAATTGGAAATGCTGGAGGTAAGAGCTTTGGCAATCGCTCTCCAAAAACCCTTGGAAACTCAAATCAGCTTTGGCTGGGGAAGGGAACACATTAGCCGTCTCTTCCATACCCACCCAGTCCTTCCTGTTTCTGTTTTCTTATTCCTTTCTAATCCACACCTGCTCCCTCAGTCACACTTTCTTTCAGCCTCTGCCCTCTCCTGCTGACAGAGGGCTGTGACCTCCCCTCCTCCCCAGGCTCCCCACGTCGGGCCGTCTTCCAGGAGTGGCCATCCATCTCTCAGGGCTTTCCAGACTGCTGTCCAGCAACTCCAACAGGCACCTCTAATCAACGACCTCTACAGCGTCCACTAATGGAGGGATGCCAGGCTTCTGAACGGCACTGCTCTCCTCACTTGCCTTCAAGCTGGCCTGTCTTTCCTGCTGATGGTGGTGGGCAGAGGCAAGGGTGTGGTCAGCTTTGAAAGAGATTCCATTCTTGGAATAAAGTTACCTAGCAAATAAAGTTTTCAAAAAAAAAAAAAAATACATGATGGGAAAAACGATAAGCTGAGCATGAGCAGAAACACATCTTCTTGCATTTGTGGTGGTCTATGAAGCACAGTAAGAACCTCTGGAAGCCAGTATTCAAGGAAAAGGATGGAGGATGCAGCACCATGAGTAACCAGAGTCCGGATGAAGTTGTTCTTGGGAACTGCACAGATAAGCAGTTCTGTATGGTTTCAACACAAATGGGTTGGGAAAAACCCCGGCACCGTGAGCAATAATAGTGTCACTACCTTTTTCTAGTGGTAGGAGACAAAAACTTAGCCAGGCACATTCAACAGTAAGACTCAACAAATAATCATGTTCACAGACAGAAACTAAATCTGCCACATTTCTAGTAAAGTTCTTTGTTAATTAAATGTATTAATCTCTTCCAATTTATATGTGCCATTTGTCCCCACTCCCCAAAGATTATGGCTTAGCTCAGTGTCTGCAAGTGATTGTTCTTCTCTTATTGCGTGTGAAATCGTCCACGATGCCCTCCAACATCATCCCTACTCACGGTTCTCTATTTCCCCCTCTCTTGCAGAAGCTCTGGAAGCCCACAGAGAACAGATGTACAAATACCATTTACCATTCACAGCTCAGCAAACCCTCTCTCTCTTCCTTCCAGCAGCTTGGTTGTCCTCAAGGAGTTCCTAAATTTCATACTTCTGAGGGTTATATGGGATGGTGAAGGGTGGAGGAAAGTAGTACGGATTGAAAAACACATTAAAGTTGGCCAGGTGCAGTGGCTCATGCCTGTAATCCCAGCACTTTCGGAGGCCGAGGCTGGTGGATCACCTGAGGTCAGGAGTTTGAGATCAGCCTGGCCAACATGGCGAAACCCCATCTCTACTAAAAATATAAAATTTAGCCGGGTGTGGTGGCGCATGCTTGTAATCCCAGCTACTCAGGACACTGAGGCAGGAGAATCGCTTGAACTCAGGAAGCGGAGGTTGCAGTGAGCTGAGATTGTATCATTGCACTCCAGCCTGGGCGACAAGAGAGAAGCTCCATCTCAAAAAAGAAAAAGAAAAAAAAAAAGACAGAAAGAAAAGTACATTAAAGTGTGCCAAAATAAATATATGACAGCTTTTAAATTATTTTCCATGGGAAAAAACTTACTAGTAGTGACAATTACTTAGTGAGGGCCTACCGGGCTAGACACTGAAAGATAAAAAGTTCAAGACAGACTCTGTTTTCAGGATGTGTACGCTTGAAATGTGAAGTTAACACAGGGCAGAAAAGGAGATACACACATATACACACATATCTATACACACATACCTACACACACACACACACATACTCCTGAGACCCAAAGGAGGGAGACATCACAATGAACAAGTGGTAGGATTTTAAAAGATTCTTTTCTTTTTCAGCAAGGAGGACGGGGTGGGCAGGTAGGGGATGGTATTTATTTCCAAAGCAAATCAATTAGAAAAAAATTTGTATTTCAGTAAATTTATTTTTTCCAATCTTCAGATATAAGGCTTTTCCGTGAAAACACTCTGATTATTTATGTCTCACTAATTATCAAACATTATATAAATAGTCCTATACTGAACGAAGAATCAGAGCCAGTCATATTATAGAAAAGAATCTGTGACTTTCTAATCTTGCCATGAGTAGCAAGTTATTCTAACAGTTTAATCATGGAATTATTCAAATTTGCTCTGTCAACAAATTGAAGACTCTCAATCAAATATATAACATTGCTGAAATGAAGAAATATTTCCAGTATAAACAGGACTGAACTGATAAATCAGCGCTTTCTCCTCTTCAGATTCAGATTGAAAATGATGGTTGTTTTTCCGAGCTGGAAGAAAAAAAAGTTAATTTTAAAAAATATTAGATGACAAAATCTTCAAGAGACTATTTTATAACATTTCTTCCTGCAATCAGCATTCTTAAGTGGGAAGATATCAACAAGAAGAGAAATGCGACTGCTCTGCCTATAGAGCAGCCATCTTTTTTTTCTTCACTTCTCTAATAAACTTGCTTTCAAGGAGGAGGAGGAGGAGAAGGGGGGGGAGGAAGAGGACGGGGAGAGGAAAAAGAAGAAGGAGGAGGAGGAGGAGGAGGAGGGAGGGAGGGAGGGAAATGCTTTACAACATTTCCCCAAATAAAGCAGTGCCCGATTTATGGCACAGTCGCCCACAGACACAGCAGCTGTGCTGCATTCGCCCTGCAGCATATCCCATGTGGTGCTCAATCAGCAACTCATTCAAATACTTACCAAGTGGCTATGTGTACACAAGACTTGATACACAGCCTGGGGATGGAAATATAAACAGAACAGATCCTAACACTCAAGAAGTTCAGCCTCGTAACCACACAGAATCATATGATAAAAATGTTTTTATGGCGTATCATCACTGGATGCTACAAGAGTAAAAAGGATGGAGAAACTGGCGAAGCTGAGGCAGACGGAGAAGTGAGACATTTTCACAGGTAAGGCAGAATTACGAAAAACTAGGAGGCACAGTGAGAAGTTTGGCATGATGGAAGCTGAAATGTGAGGAGGTGAGAGCTCCTAGAGCTCCCAAAGTCAAAGTAAATACAGGCTCTTACGGCATTTTTAGAAAGAAGAATGTTGGAAGATAAAGACCACATAGACTAAATGCCACGTGACTACTACTGCAGCAAATGCGGCACTGCCACTGCTGCCCTCATTCACTCCACACACATGAAAACTTTCCTTTGGACTAATACTGTATATGGGATCTTTTTTTTTTTTTTTAATTTGGAGTTTTTGTCATAAAACCACCCACTCAGCTTTGCATAATTCTAAAGCAGAGTAAACTCAGTAGGAAGTACTTAACTTCCCAGCAATGGCAGGAGAGTTGATAAAAACTTAGGGCAAGCTTGGAGATGGAATGACAACAAAGTTCACTGAAGTCTTTAAATGGCTATACCTCACCAAAGTGATCTCTATCCTTTACAAGTTGTTTCTGTACCTCTGTCTTACAGTCTCACTTAACATCATTGATAGGTTCTTGTACTACTTTTAAGCAAAACAATGTATAACAAAACCATTTTCCATCAATGTTATAATGAAACAGCTTCAAAGTAAACAATGTTGTTCAAGGACCTGCTATACACAGTTCTGCTTAAATCATAGGACTTATTGTACCTAAAATGCTCAACTAAGAAATGAGCGTTTACAACCAAATTCTTGGTTTACCACAAACATAACACAGCATGAATATGTCTATGTTTTCATCACCAAAAAGCAGGCAGAGTTTATCTGCTTTCTCCACTATGCCAACGCCTACAGACAGGTAGCCTTAAAATCACCAACTGGTGGTATATATTCAATTTCTATCACTGTCTTGGAAAAGTAACACCTAATTCTCAGAGACTGTTATAATTAAAGCATTATTCTTAAAAATGGAGAGTAACGGG